ATGGCACTCACAGAGGCTCAAATAGTAACCTCGGGGATGCCTTATTGGCCACAGCCTGCCTCTTTCTTGCTGAGGATAATGGTACCTCAAGGCCACAACCGCTTAAGTCTGTGGCTTACGCGACTGGGGTGTTGCCCAGCAATGACGAGCAAGGTGTCTCCTCCAGCGCAGACGGAAGGCAGAAGCCACCTGCCGCGGAGGTGGGAGATGACGGGAAGGCGCCTCCGGGGTGGACGCACAGACTCGCTCTCCGTCGTGATCAGAGCGGAGGGGCCGAGCTGTGGCTTTTCGGCTAGACGGCACGGAGGGAGGCCTGGGTCACCCCCGTGTGAGGTGAGGCAACCCCCTCTCAGCGGGATTTCACCATCACCGCCATTGCTCCGGGCCCTCCCGGGGCTAGTCCCCCCTCTGTTCGTGGAGCACAGAGGCTGCAGAAGGGGAAGCAGCCCGGGGGGGGGGGGTGCCCAGGCTTGCCCAGCAGGAAAGCAGGGTGCTAGGGCCTGCGGAGCCCGCCGCTGCCCTCTCCCCTCAGCCTTGCAGCGGGAAGAGACCGGCTTCCAGTGCAAGGTGACAAAATGGCGGCTCGCTTTTTAGTCTGAACACGTGCATGTCCCACGCAAAATCGCTTGCACTCTTGTTACAGGGGTGGAGTGTTCCGGTGGCTGCAGAAACAGACATTCCCCAGCCCTTCTCCAGGCCGCCAGCATTTCAGCCACCTCGGCCTGGGGCTCTCAGCAGCACGCTGTGAACCAGACCTCCTGGGGGGGCTGCTGGGAGGCTGCAAGGACCGAGAGGGAGAGGCAGCTGAGGAAGCCCAGGAGCAAGGAGCGACGCAGCGCTTTGCAGCAGGCTTCCAGGACCACCAGCCGTCTTCTGAACACGGTTGCGTGTTCAGCTTGCATGGCGCCTGGTGAATCTCGGGCCCCTCCTCTGTCCCACCTCTCGGAGCTTGCCTAAGTCCTCACTGTGGTTCCCAGGTGGGGTGCAGAGCTGCGTGGAAAGCTTTGCCACCCAGCCCAGTCGCCCTCCTCTGAGCCGCGCCTGTTCGGTTGGGCATTTGCCCACAGGGGCATTCAGAATTTGATCAGGAATCTCTTCCGTATTCCTCTTCTCTTATTCTCACCTATTAAATCCTTGGAGTACACTGAAGTGATTACTTTCCTCTGTGCGTGTGGATCGCCATCCTTACAACAGGTAACGTGGGCTTTTCCCCTTTTACGGTTTGGGGTCCCTGGGCACCCCTAGGTTGCATGCGACATCATTTTGGTTCCCTGACCAAACACGAGCTTCCCTAATGCTAAAGGTTTCCACACTTGCGGCCTGGCAAGACGCCTTCTCGCCCGAGCCAGGAAATGCTCCCTGTCTTCCCTCCCCATTCATTTCTTCTCAGCTCATCAGGGCCCGCTACACCCCTTGTGCCCAGGGCCCGCTGCACCCAACTTGTGCCCAGTGCAGGGGAAGAAGAAGGGAGACAGAGCCCATGCCTCAGGGCCCGCGGAGGGTGTGAGAGCCCAGCCCCGCTCTCCAGCTCCGCCGCCAGGTGGGTGCTCGGCTTCTCCCTGTCCTGGGCTGCACAAAGGCTCCTGCCTCCCCAGCCTGGAGCGAGGCTGGGAACAACCTCTCAAGGGCCTGCGCAGTCACCAGCAGCAGCGACGAGGAGAAGACCCCAAGAGGGGCAGCCAGGAGGGGCACCCAAGCTCCGCAGCTTGTACGGAGGCTCATCGGTGCATCTGCCCTGCTCCTGGGTGGGGGTCACCCTGAGTCAGCCTGCAGAGAGGAAGGAGGGGTGCTCCCCTCCCGGCCCAGAGCAGATGCCTCGAAGCCCATGGTCCACAGCTCCAGGGCAAAGGTGACCAGGGCATGGAGGCTCGAGCAAGGTCAGCAGAGTATGCTGGGAGGGCCAGAGGCACCGGCTTGGTTTCTGCTCCAGCCTCAGCCTGCCGTTGCAGCCTGAGGCAGACACACACGAGATCTGAAGAAAGGGCCCTTGTTCCCGTGAAACACTAGGACTCACACTGACATTTGAATTTTATAGAAATTTCTTGTGTTACAGAGTATTATGCTTTCTTGGATGTCTCGAGTATTTTTAAATGTAGAAGCCAGTCTTAGCTGGCCGGTCGTCCAGGCACAGGTGGGGCCAGAGGGCCACAGTTGATACCCCACCCCTCACCACACGCTGTGTGGAGTGTGGAAGGGGAGGCCAGCTGCGACGTCGGGATGAGCCCGGGGGAAGGTAGAACCGCCCAGGTGGGCTGCTAGAGACAGGCTTGGAGGCAGCGGCGGGGCCGGGAGGGTCAGCGGTCTCCTGGCCGGCTCGGGGAGGTCGGAGAATAAAGACCCCAGCGGAGGAGACAAGTGGGGTCTCAGCTACTAGGTTAGTGTGAAGGAGCAGACTGATCCCCAGAGGTGGGAGGGGTGCGCGGCCCGGGCAGACAGGGAAGATGTCCACAAAGCCCTGTGCTGCTGTGCGCTCCTGTCTGAGGGCTGGGGGAGCCCTATCTAGGGGGAGGCGGGGCTGTTGGCGAGGGCATGAACAGAACGTCTGGCAGGACTTCTGGGGCCCTGGCACTTACCCCACTGGCCCAGGCCTGGGCTCCTCTATCACCCCCCCTCCACTGAGCCCTCAGCCCGCCTGCCTCACCGCACCTCTGGAAGGGCCTCTGTGGCCCAGCCTGCCCCCCTGGCTGTGAGGGGCCAGATGGCAGGGCCACAGCTGCTCGCCTTTGCCACCTCCGAGCCGATAGATGCCCCGTGTGCAGTGGGTGAGAGAACATGTCAGCAGCCACCCTGATAGATGGGAGCTAAGGGAAATGACCCCGTAGGCCTGAGGAGGGACCCCAAAGAAGGGAGAGAGAAAAGGGAGCGGGAGGGAGCAGACTGCACGCAGCCTCCTGGGGACCTCCCTGCCTCCGTTTCCTCATGGGTACCCACAGCACTGGATGTAAACAGAGCTTGGCTGGCAGCAAATTCTCTGAGAAGTCTCTGCTCTGATGCAGGTAGCCGCAGGCCCCACACTGGGGCCCGTTTGGAGATTTGACTGATCAATTGAAAGCAGCAGGAGGTTCGTGAAAGCCAAACAGAATCACCCAAAGTCAACACGGTGAAGACAAGGCAGATGGAACCATTTCATCACCAAGCCCATTGAGCAAGGCTGCAGAGCCCTAGCGCCCTGCATTATCTGAACTGCCCACGCAGGCCTTGGGTTCTGGAAAAACAAGTCCCAAAGTCCTTCGGGGTCTCCATGGCCCTGTGCGGGGGTGGGGTGGGGGTGGGGGGGTGGCCCTGCACATCAGTCCTTGTGCTGCCCGGAAGGCGGGGACACCCCTGGCCCTTGCCCTCGCCGGGACAGGGTGGGGGTGCTCGGGGCAGGAGACAGTGAAGAGGGGGATATGGACGCAAGGCCTTGTGTGCCTAGCAAGGCTGCGCCTGGCGAAAGCCCAAATGAAAACAGACCCTCCCCGGGCTGACGGTCCATGAAGCCTCTGTGCACTCGTCCAAAAAGGCAGCGATCAAGTAGGTGAGGAAAGTCTGAGGAGAACCAACTGTGTGTCTTTGCAGGTAGGAACAGAACCCAGGCAATCCTTTATTCCTTCTGTCAGCTGTCACTCATGAAGCATGGGGTTGCTGGATTTTTCTGTCTGGGAGGATGAGGAGTGAGAACCAGAAATGACTCCAGCCGGTCCGCTCAGTGACTCCGGAAGGCCACAGCCACACTGACAGAGGCTACTCCCGGGGGTCTGCTTGGTGGCTTCTCGAGGGGCCGAGAGAAGATGAACTAAAGGTGCCAGCGTGGCTCATGCTGGAGAAGGCCCAGCCCAGCGCCCGGCCCGCTGCTGTGTTAGTTCTGGGGCCCCCCATTTTGCTCTTACAGCGGGCCTGGCATCAGACACCCCATAGCACCTCCTCCTTCTGATCCCGATTTTATAGAGGAGAACACCGAGCCTCCAAGAGGCAAGAGGAGGTTCTCAACTGCACCCAACTTGGCGCACCCACTGTACCTCACAGAGAGCCTGCTGAGGAGCCGTTCCAGAGGTCCACCAGCCTCCCCTGGCCTGTGGGGGGCACTGGCCCTTCATCTACTTCATCCACTTCACCTGCTCCCCTTCAGCACCTGCCCATCCCCCAGTCTCAGCTCTCGAGTCTCCCTCTACCCCTCCGCACACCGGGCCAACGGAGGTGCCGGTCTCCCAGGTGCCCCTAATTTGACAAACAGCCCATGAATCATCCTAGGATTCCCTCACTCCCAGGGAGTCAGTCAGGTGCTGCCATAGAACATTCCAGAAGTAGCTGTGCGGACCAGACTTCCTCCAGCTGCTTATGGTGCACAGGACACGGTGCCACCAAGAATGTCCACGGGACACCCCCACCCGCCACCTTCGCCCTTGCTCGTTTCCCCAAATCACCTCACTCCTTCCCAGGACTGGTGTCCAGAGCTCTCTGCTGCATCAGCTACAGGAGTGCTGGGGGCAGAGGAAGTGCCCCGATGAGTGATAAGGAACGATGGTGGGCAGAGCCCTCGATCCAAAAGGGCCCCGACACTGAGTGCCCACTCTCTTCCCTGGCATACTCTCCTTCCTGGTACCCGGATCCCTGCAGCAGCAAGGACCCGTGACACACACCTCCCCCCACGTCACAAACACCCTTCCAGGGTGACTCAGTCTTCCCTTTACAACTGGCCCTGGAAAGCTGCCCAGAGGCTGGCATAGGCCCTGGGCCAGGAGGGCCCCTCCTCTCTATCACCCTCTGGAACAGGGGCAGAGGGAGTGGGTGACTTGTCTTGGGAGTGCAGGTGTCACCTGCGGAGGGCAGGGCCTCTGGAGTCTGCCCACAGCTTTGTGCAAAGCAACTTCCGGCCCCAGCTCCCGCCCTCCGGACCTGCCGCCTGTCACCTCCACCCCACCCACCACCAGCCACCAGAGCCTCCTTCCTCCCGGACAGACACTGGGCACTGTGCCCTCACCCTGGAGCTTCCGCCGTGAGCCCCAAGAAGGAAGGGGGAGGCCGGGTCGCTGCAGGAGGCGTGGCCACCGCCTTCACATTCACAGATTTGGAGGTAAGGGGGGCAGCTGGTGCCTCCCACTAACCCCCAGGTGATCTCTGAGGTGCCAAGCTTGGCCAGAGTCTGAAGGTGGGGCATCGGCTGGCTAGCGCATCCCCTGTGAGAAGTGGAGGGGGTAACTGGGCTTGGAGGGGAACCATTCTACAGGTGGGGAAACTGAGGCACCGGGAGGGGAAGAAATGCCCTATATATGTGAAGTGTGGGGTTCACCTCAACAACAGCCTACCTCCCCAACCTGTGAGCACATAAAGTGATGCCCATTGTCAGCCGGCTCAAGGGGAAGGGCCCTCTGAAACCAGACGGTGGAAGTGGGGGTGAGGAAAGAAAGGAGGGGTGTCCTGTGCTTAGACTGTTTCTGTCCCTACTTGAGGGGTATCATGCTCCCTCGCAGGGTTACAGTACAAAGCAGAGATAGCTGGAGGAAAGCCCCTGGAATGCTCCCCTAGAGAGGCAGGAGGGGGCAGGGTCTCAGGGAGGATAAGGTCATATAGGGCTCACTGTGTGAACCCCACACTGAGCTGAGCTCACTCCACCTACTGGCAGTGTTCCAGTGAGGTGTGTGTAATGGATCCCCATTCTACAAATGGGGAAACTGAGACGCAGGTTGCTCAGATTGCACGAGGCCTCACCGCCTTGGGAAGTTTCCTTGGGAAGCTGTGAACTGGAGAAACCCACCAGCCAGAGCCCAGGACGGGGGCTGGGGAAGGAGAGCCGGACAGACACGCTCAGCCCACAAGTGCCCACAAGGACATGCGGCCCAGGGGGCCCGGGGCGGCACAGACTGACGCCTGCCTTGGGTTTTAAAGGGACCCACACTGCTCCCCTCAACCACTACACCCCAGGGGCCTGCCCTAGCCCCAGAGTGGGGCGTGGAGCAACACAGGTCACTGTGCATCTCCCTGACACTGGGCATGGGCCTCCCACACCTCTCCCAGGTGGACAAAGCGCCTCCCTGTTCGGAGAGCTGGGGCGCAGCTGCTCCAGGTTTGTTCTCTGACCCCAACCTGTGCTGCGGCCGCCATGCCTGTGGGGGGGGGGGGCTCCTAGTGCCACCTCTTTCTCCTCAGGAAAGTGCAGAGGGACTCTGGTATGTCCAGCTGTCTTGGTGACTTTGAATGAGCCCCCTCTCTGCGCTGGGCCTCAGTTTCCCCGTCTGCCAAATGCGCTCGTAACCCACCCCAGCCCTCTAGGGCGCTGAGCTTCTCGGGGGTAGCATCTCAAGGTGGCCCCCAACAGAGTAGCCCTGTGACTGATGTGGCAGCCGCAAAGCTCCTCTGCAGGGTCACCTAGCAGGACAGCTGTCCCAAGGAGGCCTGAGTCATGTCACCCCACCTTGGACGCAGGACGCAAGGTTTACGAGCTGGGTGCGAGGACTCCCTTTGGTGCCGGACAGAGGGCTGCATGCTGTCCACAGAGCAGATCCAGGCAGCGTGGGCGGGAGGCCCAGTGTCCGGCCAATGGACTTAGTCCCTGTTTGCTCCCCAGATAACTGGAGTGACCTTAGTTAATATTCACCAGCAGCCTCCCCAACCCCCCCCCGGGTCCACCGCTTAAATACAGGCCAGGACAGGGCTCGGTCTCCTTGGCTTCGGTCGCCAGCCCAGCCCGGGACAGTGAACCGTGAGTATGCCTTCCGCTGGGGATGGTGTCTGCGGCGGCTCCCGAGGGCCTGTGCCCGGGCCGGCGGCAGGCCGGGCTGGAGGCGGAGGCTGCCCCGGGCATGTGGGGAGCAAGGAGCGGGCTGGGACCGGCCTGTTGTCATCCTAGTAACGGCAGATCTGGAGGGCCCTTCAGCCCCCCCAACCCGCCCAGGGCCTTCCCACACCTGCTGAATAAGCCGGCCCGGGCAGGCAGGGGTGGCCCCGGCATCCTGGGAGGGAGGCTCTTCCTGGCCCGGCTCCCTGTCTTTCCTACCCGCCCCCTGCAAGCTTCGCTGCCTCCCCGCTGTTCGGGTGCGTGTCTTCCCCCCTTCTCTCCAGATGAGGAAGTTAAGGCCCAGAGAGAGACAGACGGTGGCCAGCCCAGGCTCAGCAGGACCCGCAGGGCAGCTCGGGTGCAGGAAGCGCAGAAGTCCAGCCTCCCCCTTTGCAGCTGCATGCAGCTGCCCGACAGGACCGGGCCAGGCCTCGGCCTGGAGGCATCAAGGTGGCCTCCTGGGTGGTGGAAGGGGAGCCCCAGAGGCGCGCCTTGACCAGCCTTGACCACCCGGGCGGGCAGGCGCTCCTGGCATGCTCGCCGGCCAGCGGCTCTCAGGCGCCCAGGCTCAGTGGTGCCTCCCTCCAGCAAGCTCCTGGAGCGGTTACCAATGAGGAAATTGTGGCCAGAGAGGTTAAGAATTTGCCACCAATTATGCACCCATTTGAACCTGGGCCACCTCCCGCCCACGTGCTTCACCTGGTGGCAGGCACAGCTGGAGAGCGGGAAACAGAAGTGTGCAGGCTGCTCTGAGGCTGGGCCACAGGATGGCTGCCCAATGGCTTTGTCCTCTTGGACGGACCCCTATACCCTTTGCCCTCTTTCTCTTCAACCCCCCCAGCCTTGACCTCTGGAATGTAGGAAGGTTTTTATTTTTCCGTTTATTTGGCTTTGAAGAGGGGCCTACAAAGATGGCCAAGGTCAAGGCAGCCAGCCTCCATGCAGAGGGCTGACAGACCCCCGAGGCTAGCAGGCCCGCTCCAGGGCGCACACAACAGCAGTGTGGCCCAGGCACGCCTCAGCACGCTGTGCTATTGGATTAGCACAGCAGCTCTATGAGGAAAGGCCCCGTGAGGGTCTCCAGTAATTGGAGGTTCAGAGAGGTCGAGTAACTTGTCCGAGGTCACACAGCTAATAGCAAGTTGAACTCAGGCGCTCCTCCTCATCTAGCCAGGCCGCCTCTGCGGCTTTCTGATTCAAGGCCTCTGGCTTCAGCTTTCTAAAAGAAAGGGGCTGAATAACAGGCTCTGGGATCAACATGTCTGGGACTAACCAGTTCCATACGTAAACAGCTCTGAAGTTTCCAGCAAGTTTCCGAGCCTCTCAGGCCCCGATGTCTCCCTCTATAAAACGGGCTAATAACAATTCCCGTCGTACAGGTCAGCAGTGAGGGACCTATAAAATGCCTGTGTTTACCGAGTGTGGCGTGATCATCGTGATGCTGACACTGCTGTTCGCTGCGAGGGTTAGGCGGCTACACAAAGTAAGGCAGTAGCTGGACTCGGGAAGTTTTGTTCAAAGGTTTCAACTCGCAGGCAAGCCCAGGCCGGCCAGGGCCCTTTGTTCTGGTCCCAGCCCCGCGGTCGCCGCCAGGGGAAATCCGCCACGTTTCCAACATGAAGCCACCTGTGTGCAGGTGTGCAAGGGCCCCTCACCTGGCGCCTGGGATGTGTCTACCCACCTTGTTAGTTCTGTATCTGCCTTGGTAGCGAATCTCTGTTCATCTTACAGACAGGAAGCCGAGGCACACGGGAGAGGAGTCACTTGCCCAAGGGCACCTACAGGGCTGGTCACCTGGTGGTTTAGTGCCAGGGTTCAGCCGGTTGTGAGCGGATGCTGCGGTCTCTTCCCGGATCCCCAGCTCACTTGGCCACTCAGGCTGTGCTCTCGAGTGGACACGGAGTGAGTGTGGACACAGGCCTGTTCACTTCCCGCTCCCCAGACGCAGGCCCCTAGACGCCACAGTGACTCCCTTCCAGCAGATGGACCCTGTTCCTCTGGGCGTGTCGCGCCAGCTTCCTCATCTCTGGTTGGCTTCCCCCGCATGAGGTCTCAGGTGCTGGGCATTGCCTTTGATAGAAGGCCGAGGAGAGAGCCGAAGGCTGTTTGCCTGAAGTTGGACAGAACAGATTGGGAGGAAAATGACCCCGCAGGAGGCCTGCGGTGCAGTCGGGTCCCTCCGGGCCAGTGCTGTGGCTCAGAGTCTGAGATCCATGACCCAGAGTCTCCGTGGGTGGCAGGAGAGCCAGACGGTTTCAGCTCTGTCACTGGTTTGCTTTGACCTTGGCCAAGCCCTTACCAGCCCTGGGCCTCAGAGCCACCCCAGTAAAAGCAGGAAGTCTGAGTGGGTGACAGGGCCTCAGAGCCACCCCAGTAAAAGCAGGAAGTCTGAGTGGGTGACGTTACACCTTGAGAGATGGCCTGGGGGTGGGGGGGTATTCTCACCCAGGCTGTAGCCCTCCCCCCCCACCTGCCCCTGCCCCCCACTGGCCTTGCCAGCTACTTAGGGCAGCTGCCACTTGAGAATGAGGGCCCCTCGCCTCACCCACCCCATGGGCATCTCAGTCCATTTTGTGCCACCCAAGTGTGAGACGCCCCAGTGAGAGAGCCAGTGTCAGCACAGAGGGGCCTCATGATGATCTTCCCCCACCTGGTTTCATGCAGCTGGGGAGAGGGGAGCCCCGGCTGAGAGGAGGCTTACCCAAGGCCGGCGCCCGGCGCACAGGGCCTAGGTCATGTCCCCAGCCTGTGGAGGCCCAAACCCCTCCTGCTCTCTGAGGCCGGCCGAGCTGGGGAACTTCCCAACCGGTGAAGGACCAACACACAGTGGTGAGGAGACCCCAAGAGAGATGGCAAGCGCCAGAACTAACTTCAGGACCATCTACTAGCCAGGATAAGAAAGTTGCACTGGGTCTTGGTGGTCTTTTCTACGGGATCAGAGTCAACAAGGTCAGGAAAAAAGGCGATGGCAAGAAACCAGCCCTGGGCTTCATTTGTGTCATTTTATTCGAAAGAAAGTGTTGAAAGCGTGAGACGGAAGGTGGAACCCAGTGCTTGGAACCCCAGGCTTTTCCTCTCTGCCGAATGGACAAGCTCCTTTGTCTGCACTAAATGACCATCTTCGTTACCTACGTAATTATTAACTATGTGCCGCTGGCAACTCTCCCATGCTCAGATCTCAGTTTCCCCATCTGTGAAGAGAGCAAACAACACTTCAGAGGCAAGAGGCAAGGCCTCCCTGGTGGCCTAGAGGTTAAGTCTAGGATATCATAGCCATGGCTGAGTTCCATCCCGGGCCAGGGAGCTGACCCACATGGCGCGGCAGACCTCTCCTGGCTCTCCTGCTGCTCCCCTCAGCAGTGTACTTCATCAGTCTGCCTGCTCTGCTCCCCACTCTGTCTCTGGGGAATCCTCTCACCCTTCCCCTGCACTGCTGGCCTGCACCCCAGAGCTTTTATGCATCAATTACTCAACCTCACTTTAAAAGAAAAAAAGAAGTTGAGACATAGCTGGAGTGGAGGGGGCTTTGCAGGCAGGGAGGGTTCTGTGGTCTTCCAGTGGACTGATTCTTCTCACAAGTGCAGCCACAGGCCTCACCCACCCCTACTGCCTCCCTTAGTCACAACACCTCTCCTCTCCTGCCTTTCCTCTGAGGGCTTTGAACTTATAGCCCCACCATCTCCTCCCTCAAAGAACTATGCTCTCAGACCCTCGCATGCCAGCTTTAACACCCAGACTCATTCCACTGAATTGTCCTGTGGGAGACTTTGTCCCAGATCACGGACTATTGGGGGGCAGAACAGGCAGGGTCTCAAGGTGGGAATGGCGTCGGCAAGCGGACATTACTAGAAAAAGGGAAAAAGGGGGAAAAAGGGGAAAAAAAGGGAGCGGGTGTGAGAAAGACACGGGAATGGGAGTTGGGTGCAAGTCTTCCTGCTCTGCCTTCAGCAGAGGTTTATTTTATACATTTCAAGCAGGCTGAGGGATGACATTAGCATATGAAATGGGCTGAGATCACAATCACCTTTTTTCTAAGAATAGTCTGGGGTTGTTTTGACCTTTAGTTGAGATTATAACATTTTTAAAATCAATCTATCAAGGTTAAAACAGGTACATAGATTTACAAAGTTTAAGACTAATATTACTATATTTACCACAGTGAAGATTAACCAAAATAAAGTCCCTTAAACATTATTTATTACTTAAGGGCTTTCATTCTCATAGAGACATCCTAGGGGGTAAAGTAAAGTGAGGGCAGGAAGAGGAAATTTCTTGTAAATCAAATTACAGTAAGGTTCTTTGAAAAACTTGTTAGAAAGTTTAAGTGAATTTTCTTGAAGTCTAGATGGTAGAAAACCTGATTAGCTCTGAATAAGTGACTTGGGTAAATTTCCATATCTAAAGACTAGATAGTAGAAAGCTTGAGTGGTTATTTAGAAACTGAATAGAGGGCTGTGTGAGGTAGTAGAGTGATGAGGTTTGGGTTTTCCTCCATCTGGAAGTGAGAGACTTTGCAGTAACAGCCATTTGTTTTTACTAATAAGCCAGTTGCTTAATGACTTTTGACTTCAAGAGGAATTTCTCACCCTGGTGCAGTACTTGCTTGTCAGGGCCAGGTAGCACCTCCTGAGGCTGAGGCAATCCAATTGTAAGCTGCAGGTTGCTCAGAATATTTTGATATTACGATTATACAAAAAAGGGAGGTCATAACATAAGTTAGCGTGGAAAGTCTGGTTTTTCAGCGCATTTCCCCTCCATTCGGACCGTGTCTGTCGACAGAGGTTACATAGCTGTCTCATTCTCCCAGCAACCCCACTTTCTACATGAGGCAGAATGAGGTGAGAAAGACTAGATGACTTGCCCAAGTGACATAGCTGCCAGGTCTGTCTGAAAAGAGATGCTTCTAAGGCCCTTCCCATGCTCCCCTACACACACACAAGCCCCCACTTTACTGGAGAGTCCACTAATGCTCGTCCCATGCTGAGCTCAGGGTGGGACTGTGGGGGACAGGATGAGCAGCTGAGTCAACTGCAGGGACCATGGCCTCTTTTGTTGCTGGCTTCTGAGGTCAGTTTTTGCATTGCACACATGACGTCAGCAAGATGCTTCCTTCTTTAAAAAAAATTATCTATTTATTAAAGCAAACAAGAGCTGGGGTACACCTTCTCTTGCTGCGGAAGCCCACGTCCGTGAGAGCATGGAGCCCGAGGCTCCGCTATGCTCCCTTCAGCATCTTGCAAGGCGGCAACAACCCCTGTAGACTCAGACGACTCAAGCGGGCCACAGTGACGCAGGAGCAGGAGACGGAGTCCCGGGCCTGAGCCCGAATCAGGCGGCCCAGTCCTGATTGGCAGGAGTCACTGCACAGGCCCTGGCTTGGGGCTCAGCCCATCCTCCGTCAAATCATGGGGCCCAGTGAGCCCACCCAGGGCTGCTCCCGATCCCAGCATGCCAGAGCCCACCTGCCCCTCCCCGGTGACCAGGTGCACACACCTTGTGCCTCAGTTTCCTCTTCTGGCAAAGGGGCTGCGCACCTGCACCTCACGTCAGGGCAGGAGTGAGTGGGGTCTGGGGTCCCCGACATCTGACTCAGCTGCTGCTTCCTTTGCCCCGTGGCTTTGGACAAAGGCCCCCTCCAGGAGCTCTGGTCTCCTTGCCTGGGCACAGGGGCTTGTCAGCTGACAGCCCAGGACGGCTCTGGGTGGACAGTGCCCGGAGGCAAGAGGCGAGAGGGAGTGGGCAGCGCATCGGGCGTTGCTGGTGTGACCAGGCGCGGAGGGGCAGGACGGTGCGGGCGCGTCCTCGCGGACGTTCAGCCACTGCGCCACTCCGCCTGGTGCCCAGCGCGACTCGGCATGGCGCCCCTTCTGTCTTGCAGGACGATGCCCTCCTCCAGCGCGTGGGGTCTCCTCCTGCTGGCAGGCCTGTGCTGCCTGGTGCCCCGCTCCCTGGCTGATGGTCTCCAGGGAGAAGCTGTGCAGGAGACAGATCCAGCCAAGCAGCAGCAAGCCTGCCACAAGATCGCCCCCTACCTGGTTGACTTCACCTTCCACCTGTACCGCCAGGTGGCTCATGAGTCCAACACCACCAACATCTTCTTCTCCCCAGTGAGCATCGCTACAGCCTTTGCCCTGCTCTCCCTGGGAAGCAAGGGTGAAACTCACACCCAGATCCTGGAGGGTCTAGATTTCAACCTCACTGAGCGAGCAGAGGTTGACATTCACAGAGGCTTCCAGCACCTTCTCCACACGCTGAATCAGCCAGACAGCCAGCTGCAGCTGAGCACCGGCAACGGTCTGTTCATCAAAGAGGGTCTGAAGCTGCTGGACAAGTTTTCCGAGGATGTCAAGAATATCTACCACTCCAAGGCCTTCTCTACCAACTTCGAGAACCCCGAAGAGGCCAAGAAACAGATCAACGATTATGTAGAGAAGGGAACCCAAGGGAAGATTGTGGATTTGGTCCAAGAACTTGACAAAGACACAGTTTTTGCTCTGGTGAATTACATCGTCTTTAAAGGTCAGGTGCGCCACCAGCCTGAGCAGGTTCGGGAGGGAGCCCCCCACCTCGCCTCCAACGCCCGGCCCCGACATTTCCTGGGCAGCGCCCCGTTTCCACATATAAGCGCTAAAACACTTTCCAGGGCTCAGGAGGGCGGGGAGCGAGGCCAAGGGTCCGTCCCCGTCTGCTCTGTGAGTGTTTCAGCACCTCTAATGCCAAGACAGACAGCGGTAAAAATGCTTACTCTGAGCAACCAAGCCAGCCAGCACTCGGAGCCCCAGTAATATGGAAATTCCAGGGGTGCCTCCAGGCCCCCACGGCCCTCACTGAAGCCCAGACAGTAACTCTTTGCTCCTCTGATGCCATTTTGTGGATGGTGACGCCGAGGCACGTCCAGAGGGGCTCTCCACGAGAAGGCTCGGGCCCCTCTGTCCCCTGCTTAACTAACCCTCTCGCTGCCCCTCCCTTCTCTCCAGGCAAGTGGGAGAAGCCCTTCAGTGCTGACCAGACCACCGAAGAAGACTTCCACGTGGATGACCAGACCACCGTCAAGGTGCCCATGATGAAGCGCTTGGGCATGTTTAACATCCAGCACTGCAACAAGCTCCAAAGCTGGATTCTCCTGATGGACTACGTGGGCAACGCCTCCGCCATCTTCCTCCTGCCTGACGAGGGGAAAATGCAGCACGTGGAAGACACGCTGAGCCGGGAATCCCTCAGCAGGTTCCTGGAAAAGAGATACGCAAGGTAACTTCCGGGCCCGGCTGCCCCGAGCTGCCCCAAAGGCCTGGCAGGGCCGGGTGGCCCACGCGCCATGGCCACTGTGCGTCGTGACCCTGTGCTGGTGACGCAGGCCAGCGTGCCACCAGCCGTGCCCGAGGGGGCAGCGCCCACAGGTGAGGAGCTAAAGCCCTGTCCTCGGGGACCCCTCCTGGCAGGGACACTGCCCTTTCTGGTCGCCCGTGCCCCGGGCTGGGAGGGCACCCCGCACCCATCGCCCACCACGTGGGAAAGCAGGAGGTCTCGGCCAAGGCTGAGCGTGCGGTTAAAGGCTGGAGGGGCCACGCTGCCCCAGGGAGAACCGGCTTGGAGGGGCCGAAGCAAAGGCGCAGGGGCACACAGCCATGTGAGAGGATGGCCGCGGCTCCCTCCGCTGTCCCTGTGGCTGGATGGGGTCCCCGCAGGAGAGATCCTGAGCCCCAGGTGTAGAGGTGCTCTACACATATGTATGTCAGTTAAAGGTCCAGGCAACATTATAAATCAATCACTCAACATTTAAAGCAGAAGAGGTTAAAGACATCCTATGGAAAAGAAAGCAGAGCCAGCACACATAGAAAAATATGAAAAAGCTAAAGGGAGCCCCGGAAGTCGTGACCCTGCCCCCCAAGACTCTTACTGTGTTGTACCAACCAGCACAGTTCAAACAAGTGACCAGACATCGTCTCAGAAAGCACCTGCGGGCCCCGCCCAGTGGCCTGCAGTTATTCTTTTACTCCCCCCCCCCCATTTAGAGCTTCTTCACCATGCGCACCCACTATTTTATGCTTCTGTGCTACTATCAGCTCGTGACTATTGAGAACATTGACAAAATTGTGTAGATAGAAAAATACAAAGGCTAACAGGCTGAAAATAGCACTTTTTAAAGATTTATTTAGTTATGCATACAGAACTGGGGTACAGGCCAGAGGTGTGGGGGAGCAAGAGGATTCACCAGAGACAGAGTGGGGAGCAGAACAGGCACACTGAGTGAAGTCCACCACTGAGGGGAGCAGCGGGCGGGTCAGCAGGGGTCTGCCGCGCCCTGTGAGTCAGCTCCCTGGCTGGGATCCAACTCGCGCTGCAGGGGCTGCTGACAGCCCACAGCGCTGCGTTTAACCAGTTGTGCCCCCACCAGGGAGGGCCCCCCAATAGCGCTTTTCTAAGCCTTGGTCCACCCTGCCACTTGCTGGTTCCTGGCCCAGGGGAACAGAGCCAGGGGGCTGAGCCAGTTCCTGGGCAGGTGGACCCCAAGGGCTATCAGTGCCAGCTCCGAACCCTCTCGGGGGTCACGCTGCGTCCCCATGGAAAGTGAGGCTGTTGTCAGCCCCTACAGCCCCTGACCACTCTCTGGACAGACGTGTCTCAGCACTGATATACCGCCCACCCCCTGGAATTGCAGCCCCAGCCAGGGTGACCAAATCCAAGGCAGTGTGCTGCCCAGGGGACACTGGTCTACCTGGAGGGCTTCTCAGAGGTGGTGGCCTTCAGGAGGCTTTGCTGAAAGTGGGTCCCGGTCACTCTAACGTTCTCTAACTTGTTAACCAAAAGGAGAAGACAGCCAGGCTGAGCTGTTCCTCGGTGGGCACAGACTCAGGAGCCAGGTGGGAGAAACCAGAAGAGCGACGCGTTCAGCCAGACAGACTCATTCTTTTCTTTCCTTTGTACAGATCCGCCAGTCTGCACCTGCCCAAACTGTCCATTTCTGGGTCCTACAATCTGAAAACTCTCATGGCTAAAATGGGCATCACCAAGGTCTTCAGCAACGAGGCCGACCTCTCAGGGATTACAGAGGAGATGCCCCTCAAGCTGAACAAGGTGAGTTGCTCCTGGTGCCTGCAGGTCGAGGAGCCGGGCTGGCTCAGGAGGAGGCTGAGGGGGATAAAGGGACACAGAGGAGCCAGCACAGCGAGGTCCTCCCAGGCCCGGGAGCCCCGAGTGACGGCTCGGGGGGCCTCCGGGGCCTGTCGGGACAGCCCCTGTGTGGGCGTCACGGACCCTCCGTCCCACCAAGGCCAGGGCCTCCCTTCCTTGGGTCTCAAAGGACCCAAATCCACAAGGGGAGCTTGGGCTCTGGCACGCGAGGACTTCTGGCCCCCCCACCCCGCGCCATGGGGGCCTACTGGGAGTCGGGGAGCCGGCGTCCACGCGGCGCTTGGCTGAGAGGCCGTTTACCCAGGAAGGTAAAGGTGGCCAGGAATCCGCCTGGTGCCGTTGCTGGCTGCACACTGCTGGTCGTGGCGAGAGCCCCCCAGAGCCCTGCTCCCCCAGGGGTATCAACCTGCTCTGGCCCAGAGGGGTGCCGGGCAGGCGTGGGTGGGAAGGCCCTCCTGCTCCCGAGGGGGCTGTTGCCCAGGAGGTGGGGTGTGGGCAGGAGCGGCGGGAGGTTGGCGGCGGGGTGAGGCCTTGAGAAGGCGAGAAAGGCCCGGAGCCTCGCGTAGTCGGGGTGCGGGGGTGGGGGCAGCCTGGTGTCGAGAGCCCTGAGGAAACCCCCTCCATTCCCAGCCTTCCTCGCAGGCCTGTGTGGGGTTCAGGAAGCCCGACTCTGCTCTCAACAGTCCTCTGTGCTCTCTCCCCTCCAGGCCCTGCACAAGGCCGTGCTGAACATTGACGAGAAAGGGACAGAAGCTGCTGGGGCCACAGTCATGGAGGCCATCCCCATGTCTATACCCCCAGATGTCCACTTCAACAGGCCCTTCCTTGTAATACTCTATGATAAGAACAGCCACGGCATCCTCTTCATGGGGAAGGTGGTGAACCCCAAGCTGGGCTAACCGCTCTCTGGGCTCAGCCCCTTCCTCCACACCAGCCTTTCCCCACTCCCTGAAATTAAAGAAGGGTCCGCCAGGCTCATGTGTGAGTGACTCACATTCATCTTCTTGTTTCTGAGTCTCCCTGTACATCAGGATGCAGGGGCTGCAGCTCACAGCCGCCTGCCATGTGTCCGTGTGTTGATGGATATTTAGCATTGACCTTGGCTGGGCGCAGGTTGCAGCCAGCGGCATCCTGACTGTCCTGATTCTACTATGGAAATGCTCTAGGTTTTGCAGTCTCTGGGAGTCTGCAGTCTTTGGGAGTGTGCAGCCCTCAGATAGGGCCCGAGGCCCCCACCTCCATCAACATCCAGCAGGTGGTCCTGCTAAGGTCCCACCCCCTGCAAGGCTCCCAGAAGCCCCAGATGCCCCTCGCCCCTGCAGAGCAAGGCTGGATCAGGGGGCTGCTTCCCAGACACCCCAGGCCGTCACTCCCCTATGGCAGGGCACTCCAGGTCTCCAGCCGCAGCAGGAAGCTCTGCTGGGTCTCGGCAGCTCCCCAGGGCCCCCTGAGTAAGACCAGGCCCCACCGATCTCAGTGCTTTCCTGCGAGTGACATTGGTTGATTTTTCCTGGAGTTGCTTCCAGTCCAGCTTCTGGGAATACATTTTCTGTCCTGGTCACTCCAGCTACTCTGCGGGACCTCAAATGCCTTCCTTCTTGAAGCAGGTCTCCTCTTCAAGAAGAGGAGAGCAGATGGGACAGTATCTCCATCTGTCTCGCCAAATCCCACTTAATCAGATACTGGCCTAGAAAATTTCTCCTCCCCAGTCATGGGACAAAGGTGCCCTGGATGACAAGAAGAGTCACAAGTCTGGGCTTGAAGGAGGAAGTCAAGCCACACCCCACCCCCACCACCCTCCACCCTGGCTGAACCTCCTTCCAGGTTCTTGCCCTGCAGTCTTGGGAGGGAAACCCCAGTCCTGGGCCACAGCTGGAGCTCATCCACTTCCTCCCCTTTCCACATGTGGCTCCTTCCGGTCCCCAGTGCCCCGCCCGGTGGGGCCTGCTTCAGCAGACCTGCTGGCCGCCTGGAGGACTCAGCGCCCCGGACCCTCCCAGGACTGCTTGTCCCGGGAAGGACCCCCCTCCCGCCCAACCTGGACTAAGCCCCCATGGGGACACAGCACCTAAAACAGGAGGCCGTCCTGCGAAAGTGACCCTCTGACGCCCACGTGGCCAGCAGGTGCAAGGTCACCTACGGAACACGACTCGTAAAGATTCACCTTTTCCAGGGGTCTCTCTCACCTCCTCCTCCGGGGTCTCCACACAGACACCAACACTGCGGGTCCAGGCGACCTGGCCTGAGGCTGCCCCCTGGCTCGGCCACGCAGCTCGCACTCGGTCCCCGGCTGTGTGGGCTTGGGAGCCGCCCCACACCCCGAGCCTCAGCCTCTGCATCACGGTTATAAAGCCGCCCCTGAGGCGGTGCCGGGCTAGAGGCATGGTGAAAGCGCTGCTGTGGGAGCCCACAGCCACCTGCCACCGGCATGTCCGTGAGCTCCTTCTGGAAGCCTGGGCCACGGGCTGGGCCAGCACTGCCCAGAGCCTCACAGCAGCACCGGGTCACGTGAGTGCAGCTGGCCTGGCCTCACACCCGCGGCACAGATGAGGAAACTGAGGCTCAGTGGTGTCCTGCTCCAGGCCACGGACAGTAAGGGGTGAATCTGCCTTCGAGTTCTGCACCCTCCTACCTCACCCGCAAGCCCAGAGAGGTCCAATCCGCACCGATGCATAACCCAATTGCAGCCCGAGGAAGGCCGGACCCAAGCACACACCTAGGGGGGCACCCCACAGCCCAGTGGGAAGGACTCCTGCTGCTGAGCTCTCCACGGGAGGGAAGGGAGCACAGTCCTGAGAAAGTAGTGCCCAGGGCTTCAGGCACCCCCAAATCAGCCATTGGCGTAAAGGGCAGGAGCAAATCCAGCTGGACATCCCGAGCATTCAGATAGGCCAGGAAACCCGAGAGCCCCACTGCCCACTTGTCAGCACATGGCCAGACCCTGGGGGTCCGACTTGAAGGTGCTGGAAACCGCCAGGGGTTCACTGGCTCATGGGAACCACAGGGCCCCCGAGGGGGAGCCCAGGCCTGATGCGGAGGAGGCCAGAGTGTCCGCCAGTCAGGCAGGCCCTGGGGGCCTCACGCTGCCCTCTTCAGAGTTTTCGGGGTATTCACTGCCTTTCTGACCTGTGGGCCACCCTGAAGAGCACGGAGGGACACATTATCCCCATATGCCGTGGGAGACGGGGGTGCAGCAGGACAGAAGACCCGCCTGACTTCGCTGCCCCTTGGGAGGCCCGGCTGCCCGAGGGTGACACTTCCCCATCCATTACCAAAGCCACAAGATCACGTCAAAGCCCAGGGAGGTGGCGAGGAAAGGAAACACCAAAGCAGCCTCCCCCTGCGCTGTGCTTATGTTGGGCCTACTACACGCTGGGAACATGTGATGGTGGGAAGCCATGTTCCCTACTGCCCCTGCAGGACAGTGAGGGGTCAGCGCCTGACCCATCCCTGACCCGGCACACGGGAGACAACCCTCGCTGGGCCTCGGTTTCTCCCCGCAGAGGAGGGACCCACAGCGCAGGCCCGGCCTCTGCAGTCTGCTCGGGAGGGCTGAGGGGGAACTCCTTGCTCAGCAGACTCTGTCCCCGCCGAGAGCGCCCGGGCTGATGGGCCCGCAGGCTTTGAGGTCCTCCCCTCTGGGCCAGCTCAGGGGCTGACATGATCCATCCAGGGAAGCAGTGACCCCCCACCTCCCTGCTCAAGTAATCAGCCTGGAGCCTCAGAGCTCAGCCCGAGGGCCTGATACCATTGGAGGCCTGGCTGTCCTTCCCTGAGGGGCCCAGTCTAGGGGAACCAGCAGGTGCCGGCGCCCCAAGGCAGGGCAGGGCCATGGCTGTGCCAGGTCAAGGTCCTCTCCCCTCACAGAGGTCCTGAGAGGAGCAAATGATGATGACATGTCAAGAGTCTAGAATGTACCTGGTTCCCAAGTAGCCCAGTAAGAGCGATGAGCCTGGTCGCACGGCTTTGACTGAGTATCAGAGTGCTGGGAACACCTGTCAGCTGCCCCTGAGGTCAGGCCCTGCTGCTCCCCTCTATGTGACTCAGCTCCTCAACCCCCAAAATGTCCTGGCAGAGACTCGGCACGACAACTGGGCTACTTCTTCCAGGCAAGAGCATTGCAGTCCTTTTCCAGAAGTTTCTACTGTGGATTCCACCCAAGGGTTTCCCTGGACCTGCCCTTGTCCCTCTTAATGTGAGTCATCATTCAAAGCCCAAAGGGAAGGCTTCCTGGAGAGCACTCCCGGGGGGCGGGTGCTGGTGCAGAGTCCATGGAGTTCAGCAGACCAGTCTACCCAGCAAGGCCCCCACGGCGCCCTGGGACAATGGCCAGACAGCCCCACCACAATCCACTTCTCCTCTGCTTCTGATTCCTTTGCTCATCCTGAGATAGGATCTCAGTCTGGCACGAGACCCCATGTTCACGGGCGGGTGACCCCCAAGAGTCTGTGGCACTCCAGCGTCAGTGAACAGCCCACCCCAGGCCTCGATCCCACTCAGTGATTAAATCCAGTGACAAGGCTGTGGGACACGGAGCTCTGTGTCCTCGGTCCCACTGATACAAGCCCGGGGCTTACTTCTGCAGGACGTGTGCCTCCTGAAATCTGCCCCTGAGGGAAGCCTGACACCCCATCACTGGGAGACTGGAGGCTGGTGGCCCTGAGGCCCAGCACCCCAGCACAGGGACGTGCTGGGTTTTCTAGACCAAGACAAGGGCCCTTAAAGAAATGAGCTTTTCTCAGCATCTTCATGGAAATTCTTGCAAAATGCATGTTCTTGTCTACCTTTTAGAGTTGGGAAGAGGCAGAGAGAGGTGAGCGACACCCCCAGCGCCCTGGGGGTTGCACTGACTGGCAGCACCTGTCTCCTCCTGGCCTGGCCTGTGGGCTGGAGCAGGGGGAGGCTGGGGCAGGCTGGGGATGGCGGGGGCAGACTCCCTCCAGGAACGTTCAACCAAGCTGGCTCAGCCTCATTCAGAGTGGGCCTCCAGCTCTGCTTGTCCGCGTGTGGGAAGACCCAACGCAGGGTTCGCGGGGCAGTGCCTGGCCAGCTCTCCCGCTGCCTAGTTTGGGGTCGCTGCTGAGGACTCTGGGGGGCTCCGCAGAAGCCCACCACCCCACAGATTGCCTTCTTTCCCTGCCCCCAGCACAGACTTGCCTTCTGGGTGGGACCTGAGTACCTTCTCCTCTGTGCCCAGATGTTCAGATACAGGCAAGTCAGACTCACAGTGAACCAAGAGCCTCCGCGCAGCTGCAGAGAGGCGCCCCATGGCGCAAGGGGGGCACACGCCGTCTCATCCACTCCTGAGTCGAGCCCAACAGCAACCCCGGGAGGCCTCAGGTCCGCTGCGTCCTTGGCCCGGTCAGGCCCAGGAGCCCCAGCGAGGGCAGAGCGCAGCCTCCCAGCCCGGGGCTGTACTAGTGATGACCATGAGGTGCGGATCTCCCCTGCAAACAACAGGTATGACTGTCACCGCTTTGCTGTCCCTCCTGAGCCCAAGGGGCCGGCTAGAGACTCCTGACACAGAGCAGAGCTGGGTCTTGCCTGGAAGAGGAAACTGCCTGGAACAGTAAACCCCAACAGCGTTGCTCTGCTGGCTCGGGGCAGGGTGTTACCTCAGGCAGCGGGCCTAGAGGGCAGCCGAGTCAGGCGGGTCTTCTGTCCTACTGCACCCCCGTCTCCCACGGCACATGGGGTTAATGTGTCCCCCCGTGCCCCTCAGGGTGGCCCACAGGTCAGAAAGGCAGTGAATACCCTGAAAACTCCAGGGCCTACCTGACTGGCGGACACTCTGGCCTCCTCCGCACCAGGACTCCCTGACGCCTGGGCTCCCTCTCGGGGGCCCTGTGGTTCCCATGAGCTCCTGCCCTTTCTACCAGCGGGTGCTGATTTGGGGGTTGCCCTCCCAAGACTGCAGGGTGGTCCTAAGGCAAGAGCCTGGAAGGAGGTTCAGCCAGGGCAGAGGGTGAGTGGAGTGGGGGGACGTGTGTCCCTGCAACTCGAGTCAGCTGGCTGTCATCGGTTCTGTCGTGTGTGAGCTCCAGGATGAGCTGACCATGGCATCAGTCAGCCTCCTCTGTGGACGGCACTGTTGGGAAACGGAAGCCAAACGGATCTAGTTGTGGTCACTGGCAGTGGCGTGCTAAGAGAACAGGTCACTGCGGTAAGAGAAAGGTGGGTTTTGCCAAATCTCCAGACCAGAGAAGGGTGAGACATGAAAGAAGGGCCGGGAAACCAGATAACGGAGCCGGAGGTGACACAGAGGTGCAGGGTTATCGGGCAGTTAATGAACACACCTCAGCCTCAGACCAGGCCTGCAACACCGAGGTCAAGGCCAGGGTCCTCAAGGCCAGTCAGGAGGGGTCAGAGCGCGGGGGGGACACCTTGGACCGTTCTCTGAGATCTGGAAAGAAAGCAGGTGACCTCACAAGGGAGAAGGTGCCTGCTTCCTCCGCAGTGCTGGCGGGTGGGGTGTGTCTCTGTGGTGCCCGGGATTCGCGGGACGGGTAAGCAGGTGGGTCCACGTGAGAAACAAGTCACGGAACTGGAGGTCCGCCAAAGGGAAGACCACCAGGGCCACACTGTGAGGGAGGCCAGGCATGGAGAAGGGAGGCCTGGCACGGAGAGGGGAGGGCGGGTGCGGACAGGGGAGGGTGGGCACGGACAGGGCAGGGTGGGCGCAGAGAGCAGCTCGGAGCCGCCCCTCCAGCTCTGCGGTTAGATGTACAGTCGGCCGACTGAGTCGGGGAGCTAGTGAATGACGTGACTTCCCGCCGAATGACGTGGGAGCAGGTCGGGGGTGCAGGCTATGTCACTTTCACCCAGGAGACCAGGCACATGGGTCGCTGGGCCTTGGTTTCTCCCGGCAGAGGAGGGACCCACAGCGCAGGCCGGCCTCTGCAGTTGGCTCAGGAGGGCTGAGGGGAAACTCCTTGCTCAGCAGACTCTGTCCTGCCCAGAGGTGCCCAGGCTGAGGGGCCCGCAGGATAAGCCTCCTCCCTCCAGACTGTACCACTTACAGGGTTTTGGGACGCTCTGTCCAGGGGACCAGTGACCTCAGTCCCTGGCAGGTCATCAGCCTGGGAGCCTCAGTGCTCAGCCTGAGGGCCTGATGCCATCTGAGGCCTGGCTGCCCTTCCCTGAGGGTGCCCAGTCTAGGGGAACCAGCAGGTGCAGATGCCATGAAGGAAGGCGGGGCCATGGCTGTGCCAGGCCAGGGGTCCTCTCCTGTGATGCCCCTCACAGAGGTCCTGAGTGGGGCAAAGGATGACAACGTGCGACAGTCTGGAGTGCAACTGAGCCAAGGATGGCTGCAGTGTCAGCAGGCTGGGTCACGGCCTGTGACTGTCCAGCCCTAAGAAACTGCGCAGGTGAGAGCGATGTGGCCCCGGACTCCAGGCACAGGGGAGAGAACAGGCTGGTGCTGAGTGTCCAGACTCGGAAAGCCCCGTGAGAGTCATTCAGCCTGACATAGCATCCGGGAATCACAACCACCCGGCCCTGATGGTCCCATTCTATTGATGACGAAACTGAGGCTCAAAGAGAAGGGGCATCTCGGGTCTAGGGTACATGGTAAAGGAGCTGGGGGGAGTCCCTGGCAGCAGCTTGGGGTCCCGACAAATGTGCTTTGCCCTCTGCCCGTGAACAGAGCGGCAGAGGAAGCTCTCCCTACATGAGGCCCGTGAGGGCTGCAGCCGTCACGGAACTTCATGCCCACTTCACACTCTGGGAGAACAGGCTTGCAAAGCTGTCCACTCGGTCAGCTGCACCAGCCCTTTCTGCGGTAGTAGGAACCGAGGTGCCGGCATGAATGTCCGCACGTCACAGGCTGACTGGCCATCCTGAATCCTTTCTACCTGCTGACTCTGCTTTCGGCATTTTCATGTTGAAGTCGCAATCCTGATGTTCCAGAACAGAGGAAGCTTCCCTGACAATACTTAGAACATGCTAGACATTGCTGATAGCAAACCCAATAAAGGGAAGGGCCCCTTTTTCCTACTGAATGTCCACTTCAGGTGAGACTTGCTAGTCTTGTGAGCACAACACCCTGGCGTGAAAATCTCGTGTCTGCATCCTCAAAGTCATCGCTTTGGCCCCCGGTGACCCAGTGAAGGCCAGGAGCCCTGGTCATGCAGTGGCTGGAGGTGTCCCTCTCCCTGTCTCCAAGCTGAGCTGGGTCCCCCTGGAAGGGCTAAGTGCCTGGAACAGTCTGAACTCGCGTGGGGCCTCCGCAGGCTTGGGGCAGAGAGTGGTCCCATGGGGACGGGGAGGTGGCCCCTCTCCTTGGTCAGGTGAGAAGGAAGTTTGTGCCCTTGGCCAGTCGGGCCTCAGAGGGCAGCTGAGTCAGGCGGGTCTTCTGTCCTGCTGCACCCCCGTCTCCCACGGTACATGGGGATAATGTGTCCCCCCGGTGCCCCTCATGGTGGCCCACAGGTCAGAAAGGCCATGAATGCCCCGAAAACTCTGAAGAGGGCAGCGTGAGGCCCCCAGGGCCTGCCTGACTGGCGGACACTCTGTCCTCCTCCGCACCAGGCCTGGGCTCCCCCTCGGGGGCCCTGTGGTTCCCATGAGCCAGTGAACCCCTTGGGGGTTTCCAGCACCTTCAAGTCGGACCCCCCAGGGTCTGGCCATGTGCTGACAAGTGGGCGGTGGGGCCGGGAGGCTCTCCGGCTTCCTGGCTTATCTGGACCCTCAGGACGTCCAGCTGGATTTGCTCCTGATGTTGGCAGGAACAAGCCGTGACCCAGCCTGCCAACACTGCAGCCACCCTGGGCTCAGCTGTACGCCAGACTCTGGCACGTCGTCATCATTTGCTGTGCTCAGCACCTCTGGCCTGGCACAGCCATGGCCCCACCTTCCTTCATGGCATCTGCACCTGCTGGTTCCCCTAGACTGGGCCCCCTCAGGGAAGGACAGCCAGGCCTCAGATGGCATCAGGCCCTCGGGCTGAGCACTGAGGCTCCAGGGCTGGTTACCTGAGCAGGGACTGAGGTCATTGGTCCCCTGGACGGAACATCCTAGCCCTATAAGTAGCACAGTCTGCAGGGAGGAGGCTTATCCTGCGGGTCCATCAGCCCGGGCGCCTCTGGGCAGGACAGAGTCTGCTGAGTAAGTAGTTCCCCCTCAGCCCTCCTGAGCTGACTATAGAGGCCAGGCCTGCGCTGTGGGTCCCTCCTCCTCCAGGAGAAATTGAAGCCCAGGGAAGGTTGTCTCCCGTGTGCTGGGTCAGGGTTGAGTGAGGCGGCGGCTGACCGCCCCTGTCCTGCCTGATGGTCAGCTGGGATGCAGATTGACACTTTCGCACCCTCCTAGCTCCCAGGGGGGCCTCAGAGTCGCAGCGTAGAGGCGTCAGGAGACGGGCTGCCTTGATTTCCTTTCTCTCCTCCCTGCTCCTGGGATCGGCCAGGGCCCTGAGCAGCTGGTCTACTCCTGCCTACCCCTCTGCAGAGGGCAAGGGTGAGTCCCCCCAGCAGCCCCCTTGTTCTCTGATTGTTTCTCATTCAGGATCCTAATTCTTATCTGTGTCCTTTTAAACTCCAGTTAAAGCAGCGTCCTCCTCCTTAAACTTCAGCCACAACCACACCAGTTAACCTCTCTGGGGAAAGCAGATGCCGCCTTGGATTTTCAGTCCTTGCCTGCTGTGGCATGCTCCCAGATGTTCAGAGAACAGTCCAAGGTCTCCCCGCTCCGCTCTGACCCCTCCTGACTGGCCTTGAGGACCCTGGCCTTGATCTCGGTGTTGCAGGCTGGTCTGAAGCTGAGGTGTGTTTATTAACTGCCCGATAACCCTGCACCTCTGTGTCACCTCCGGCTCCGTCTTATCTGGGTTCCCGGCCCTTCTGTCATCTCTCACCCTTCTCTGGTCCTGGAAGTTTGCAAAAGCCCTTTGTCGTCAAGCAGTCATGGGTGACGAGACAGAACTTCTCCACCCTTCTTGTTGTGCTGCTTTAAAGAGAAGCCCCCGAGACACGACAATCGGATGGGGGCCCCAACTGGCAAGACAGCTTCAGTCCTGGACTGGCTGAGGTGGAGAGGTGTTCCACCCGCTCCCCTCCTGCCCCTGGCACCCCGCTCCCTGAGGCCCCGCCATCAGAGCTGTCCACTGGGTGGGGGTCGCTGCACAGACCCCCCCCTCGGGGCTCAGCCCATCCTCTGTCAAATCATGGGGCCCAGTGAGCCCACCCAGGGCTGCTCCCGATCCCAGCATGCCGGAGCCCACCTGCCCCTCCCCGGTGACCAGGTGCACACACCTTGTGCCTCAGTTTCCTCTTCTGGCAAAGGGGCTGCGCACCTGCACCTCACGTCAGGGCAGGAGTGAGTGGGGTCTGGGGTCCCCGACATCTGACTCAGCTGCTGCTTCCTTTGCCCCGTGGCTTTGGACAAAGGCCCCCGCCGGGAGCTCTGGTCTCCTTGCCTGGGCACAGGGGCTTGTCAGCTGACAGCCCAGGACGGCTCTGGGTGGACAGTGCCCGGAGGCGAGAGGCGAGAGGGAGTGGGCAGCGCATCGGGCGTTGCTGGTGCTGTGACCGGGCGCGGAGGGGCAGGACGGTGCGGGCGCGTCCTCGCGGACGTTCAGCCACTGCGCCACTCCGCCTGGTGCCCAGCGCGACTCGGCATGGCGCCCCTTCTGTCTTGCAGGACGATGCCCTCCTCCAGCGCGTGGGGTCTCCTCCTGCTGGCAGGCCGGTGCTGCCTGGTGCCCCGCTCCCCACCGGACCCTCAGACCCCGGATCTGCCCCCCTTCTCGAACATAGCCCAGAAACTGGACAACTTCTCCTTCATCCTGTACAATGAAGTTGTCCATCGTTCCCATGGAAACATCCTCTTCTCCCCAGTGGCCATCTTCATAGCCTTGGGGATGCTTTCCCAGGACGGCTCCAATCCAGTTTCTGGAGACGCTCAACTCCACCTTCAAGGTGGACGTTCTCAAAGCCTTACAGATATACCTGGACTCCTTCAACCAGCCGGACAGCCAGCTGCAGCTGACCACTGGCACATGATGTTCATCGACAGCAGCGTGAGGCACATGCTGAACTGGTCCAAGGATGACTGGTATCCTCACCAATCCGAGGCCTTTTCCATCAATTTCCAGAACCCCGAGGAATCCAAGAAACAGATCAACAATTACTTAGAGAATGGAACCCAAGGACAAATTGTGGACTTGATCAAAGACCTTGACAAAGACACAGTTTTTATTCTGGTGAATTACATTTTCTTTAATGGTAAGGTGCTCCACCAGCCTGAGGGAACCCCCCACCTAGCCTCCAACGCTCAGCCCCAACATCCCAGGCAGCATCTCAACAGGATCACCCTGTTTCCACACACAAGCGCTAAAACACTTTCCAGGGCTCACAGGGGCAGAGAACAAGGCCAACGGTCAGTCACCACCTGCTCTGCGGGTGTTTCAGCGCCTCTGATGCCTCATGTGCATGGGAGCCCCAGGAGGGTGCAAGGCAGGTTGCCACGTCTCTCAAGACAGACAGTCAGAAAAACCATTTTTAGTAGAGTGGATAAAGGAAAGAGGGTTTACAAGAAGGGCCTGCAGACAACTCTGGTGTCGTGGCAAGAGTGACAGAAAGAATGGGGTTCAATCCTGTCTCCAGCACTCATCCCCAGAAAAACCACCAGCAAGTCACTTAGCGCACGAATTCTGCTTCCCATGTGTAGCGAGGCTGTAGAAACGCCCTCTGACCAGCTTTCTGTACTTTGAAAACAGACAGCAGAGGTGCACATAGTGGGTGCGCAGCTGAACTGGACTCACAGCTTGTCTTGCGCCCCTGACTGATGCTAGTGGGTCCCCAAGGGTGTGCTGAGATGGTTCACACAGCTCCCAGCAGCAGCCTGGGACCAGGGACGTAGCGTTGAGCAGCTGCCTCCTTGCACTGGACATCAGACTGGAGTTAGCCCAGTGGGTCTCCGAGGTGGTGTGGCCCCTCTCTGGCCTCAGTCGCCTCCTCTTACCTGATGGGAACATGGAGCAGGGGTCTCTGAGTCCCCGACTTATCCCAACGGTGCTCTTTCAGCCCGGTAGACAGGAGTTAGTTGCCTGGACATCTGCATTTCACCTGACAGTCAAGGAAAGGGTGTCAGGAACAAGAGGGGTTCCCTGAGCAATAACAACCACCAAATACCAAGAGCAGGGTGTCTCGGGAAGTCTCAGTCCACAGACAACTTGGGGACCTCCCAACTACCCCAGCTAAGTTCCGTTGCTCAGCCTCAGGTCACCCGCAAGTCAACATCAAGCGCACCCGGCATGGACCACCTCGGCCCTGTGACACGGGATCACCCAGGCGGTCAGGTGACCCTCAAGCAAGGGCCGATTGTCCTTCAGAGTTCTGATGGCCTCACGGCCTCACAGCAAAGCAGAGACCCGGGGAGAAGCAGCTCCGGGGGCTACGCTCACCCAGACCCTGTGGGGCCCACTCCGGCCCGGCTGAGCTGTTTTCTCTCTCCAGGACAATGGGAGGACCCATTCACAGCTCAGCGCTCGGTGGAAGAAGCGTTCCACGTGGATGAGGAGACCACCATCCAAGTGCCCATGATCAACCGCCTGGGCAACTTCTCGCTGCACCGGGTGGAGGAGCTGGCCAGCTGGGTGCTCTGCAACACTACGTGAGCCAGGTCATCGCCTTCCTGATCCTGCCGGACGTGGGCAAGATGCAGCACTTGGAGAAGCAGCTTACTGAGAGTCACCTCTCCACCATCCTCAATGTCACTGACACACGGTGATTCCCAGCCCGGCTGACCCAAGCGACCCCTCAGGCCTGGCGGGGTGGGGTGGCCCATGCTCCACGGCCACTGTGTGTGACCCTATGGTTGTGGCAAAGCCCAGTGTCCCACCAGGTACACCAGCCATGTCCTTGGGGACCCCTCCTGGCAAGGACACTGCCCCTCTGGTCGCCTG